AGTTTTACATATATCTGAGGTTTGTTGTTTGAGCAAGTTCATTTCATCGTGTAATGTGCTAAGCTTTGAGTTAATTAGTTCAAACAATTCCTTTTTTATGGTATTTAAAGAATCGCTCAAATGCTCTTCAGAAGATCGTTTCCTTTTAAATCGAGTACTAATATTAGGCTTACCTTGAGCACTAACTTCACTTATAGCATTCGAGTCAGAGTCCGATTGAACTTGTTTTGTGGATGGAGGAGTACGCTGCATTTTACTTATACAAAAACCGCTAAAGCTTATGAATAAGGGCAGATGTACGTCTTCAATGGTGCTATCATATACACCTAGTGTAGTAGTGCTTACCGTTAGCTGCAGAATACTAATACATGACTGATACCACTTTTAATTATTACTTTACACTTTTACTTTTACACTTTTATTGCACAAGGGTATCTAGAATTTAATAAAACAAGCACACGTCTAACAGTTACCGTCAACTGGGGAGGAAGTACGTAAGCTTTTTGAGCTGGGCATACGAGGTAACCTTTTCAGGTGGATGGAATCATATCTCCGGAAACGATCTCAGGCAGTAGTCTTAGGAGGGTTCCGTTCTGACTTCGTGGAAATAACATCCGGAGTTCCACAAGGTTCTATTTTGGGTCCTCTACTGTACGTGTGCTATCTATATGATGTGGGTAAGTGTTTTCATAATGCCAAGTTTCTGATGTACGCTGATGACACTAAAATATATATGAAAATCACTGATTATGTAGATTGCATGAAGCTTCAAGATGATCTTGTGCGACTTGGTAACTATTATGTAGTAAATCGTATAGGAGTTAATGTCAGCAAGTGTCTTTACGTTTCTTTCACAAGGAAAAGAGAACCCACAAAATTCAACTACCAAATAAATCACCTTAATATAACTAAGAAAGAATTAGTGAAGGATCTGGGGATATTACTGGATTGCAAGTTAAGCTTCTCAGAACATATTGAAACAATTACGCACTCGGCCTACAAAAGCCTTGGCTTCATCCTACGCGTAAGCAGACCTTTTACTGATATTAATTGTATTAAATTACTTTATTTTTCATATGTTAGAAGCGTCCTTGAATATTGTAGTACTGTATGGAACCCGCATTACACTGTTCATATAAATAACCTAGAACAAATTCAGCACAAATTCATGAGACATATAAAGTATAGAAATTTTATTTACACTAATAACTATGAAGAGTCTTGTAAATATTTCAATATAATAAGCCTTGAGGATAGACGTACTCTAATGGACATAGCATTTTTGCATGGTTTATGTAATGGAAGTATTGACTGTGTAACTTTAGCTGATAGAGTTCTCTGCTTTTGTACTCCGAAACGTAGAACGAGACATACACCTTTGTTTGCGGTTGTTAAGACAAAGACAAACTATGCACAAAACTCTCTGGTGAATCGTTTACAAACAGTTTATAATAAAAGATTCCACTCAGTTGATATTTTGCATTTCAGTAAGGATAGGTTTAAAAAGGATGTCTCACACACACACACACACACACACACACACATACACACACACACACACACACACACACACACACACACACACACACACACACACACACACACACACACACACACACACACACACACACACACACACACACACACACACACACACACACACACACACACACACACACACGCCCGCATGCGAGGGAGGAGCATACGAGCATTATTTATGTTGAAATTTTTTTTGATTTTTCTTGTAAGGTTTTCTAGATGTTTAAAAATATATATTTTAGTCCCAACTACTTTGTCTTCAACATGTCCGTTATAAATTGAAAATACTATTTAAATAATGTAAATCCGTTTTTGGCTATAATTTAAGATCATAAGATGTACGTACGATGTAACAAAGAGCTGTGGATTTTGTTTGAAATAAAATAAAAAAAAATAAAAAATTATGAGAGTGCACACTAGATCAGCTTCTCTTTTAATTTGTCCAGTATCAGGCCTGCGGGAAGAAATTTCAATATGAAATAAGCAGTGCCTTTGTACAAAATATCTTTTTTTTTCTTCATTGTAACATTATTTTGTGTGTACATAAATTGTTAAATAAATAAATAAATAAATACTAACGTTGGCGTGTTTTCTAAGGAACGTTTTCACTATTCGTTGAATTTTTTTGGGATATGCCATTGTTTCAGTTTGTGGCGCATTGCTTCATCTAAACTAGACGGATATTTAGCTGTGACCAGTACTAATTCTGCCATGCTTTAGGATGAGATTTATCGGGAAGAACTATTGTATGCATTCGCTTTTTTTTGCGCCCAGATGCAATGGAAAGGGCTACCCTCCGGGAAGCGAGGAAGGGAGGTAGTGAATGCTCTAAGCATACCACGACAGCCGGCTGCCGTGGTGATGTGGGACTCACTGCGAAACCTAAGTGCCTACCCACTAAACACCACCTGTGAGACTGGTATTGGCTTGTGTAGCCCTTCTGCCGAGTCGGAAGCGACCCTCTTCAGGGAAAAGGGGGCGCAGGAAGCACGGAGCCGCTGAGAGGGGAGCCTAATTAAGGCAAATTAAGGGCGGGAAGAAGATTCGGCCTTAGCTGCCAGGAGGTGGTTTAGGTCGGCCGAAAGCTTATTTGCGGAATCGGTGAGATAGTTTCTTGATCTTCTGACTCGATAGCGAGAGGGAAGTGGGGCTACATAGGAAGCTGCCTCACGAATGAAGTGATTACAGTGAGATTCTGAGGCTTTGAGGAAGTTCTCAGAAAGTGTTTTTAGAAATTGCTGGGCTGTACGGAGCTCTAAGTCTCGATAGAGGTCGGTGTAATGGACTTACCAGGGTACGGTCGTAGCGCGACGGCACACATTATTTGAACTATTTCAAGTTCGTTAAGGGTTTTGGGGTGAGCGTGAGCAAATATGGGGCCCGCGTAGTTATAACTGGTCGTATACGGACCTTATAAAGGGTTCGCTTGTTACGGAGTGACATTTTACTGTGTCGGCCCAGCATAATGTTGAGCCTACTCAGAAAAAAGCGTGCGTTGCGAGTTACTCTCTTGAGATGAGGCCCGAAAGTGAGCCTCGTATCAAGGGTAACACCTAAATATTTGGCGGTCGTATGCCAGGGGACAGAGGTCCCTAGCATACGGATTGCGGAATGGTAGTGAGGCGGCATCGTTTATGATCCAAGTGAACGTCGGTGCTCTTCTCCGGGTTCAAATCGATACGACATTTTTGGAACCAAGCTCCTAAGTCATTAACTGATTTTTGGATCTTGTTCCGTATGAAAGGTAGTGAGATGCCTTTACAATAGAGGGCAGTGTCGTCTGCAAAGAGGGAGAGCTGTACACCTTTCGACGAGATGGGAATGTCGTTTGTGAACAATAAATAGGAGAGGGGCAAGCACTGAGTCCTGAGGGATACGAAAGGTACGATCCTTTAGGTAGAAGGCCACGAGACGAACAAGACGATCAGGGAGGCATATTTTGTAGTTTGTAGATAAGGCCTTCGTGTCAGACTCAATCAAACGCTTTTGATATGTCAAAAAAGACCACGATGGTCTTATGACGACAAGGATAGAAACTGCTGAGGATATATTCCACAATACAGTGAAATTGTTGGGGTCAAGACGATACCTCCTAAGTGTGATGAGTCAACGACATAATTCAAATTTTACAGGAGCGCCTGTCTAAGATTAATTGTTTATAACTTTTTCAGTTTTGGTCGTAGAATGTTGATTTTTTTAAGTTCGTACTATTTTAAGATTTAAGACCCTTCGATAATAAAAGATTAGACCCATTTTAGTGAGTTTCCAAGATAATGTAGTTGACTTCGTATACATCGTTCGTATACAACTATGGCCTATAATCTTGTTCCGTGTAAAAGGTAGTGAGATAACTTTACAATAGAGGCCAGTGTCGTCTGCAAAGTGGGAGAGCTGAACATTTTACGATGAGATGGGAATGTCGTTGGTGAACAAGATATATAGGAGAGGGGCAAGTACTGAACTCTGAGGTACTTTGGCTTTGATGTGACGCTGAGAGGAGAGCGTGCCTTCATGTCTAAAACGAAAGGTACGATCCTTCAGGTAGAAGGCCACGAGACGAATAAGTCGATCATGGAGGCCTATTTTGTAGTTTGTAGATTTTTTTTTATAGGAGAGGGGGCAAACGAGCATGTGGCTCACCTGATGGTAAGTGACTACCGCCGCCCATGAACAACTGCAACACCAGGGGAATCGCAGATGCGTTGCCGGCCTTTTAAAAAGGAGTACGCTCTTTTCTTGAAGGTCCCTAAGTCGTATCGGTCCGGAAAAATCGCTGATGGTAATCGATTCCACAAGGAGGTCGTGCGAGGAAGAAAACATCTTCTAAATCGCACAGTGGTGGACCGCCAATCATCCAGATGGTGTGGATGGTATCGGGAGTTCTGCCGCGATGTGCGTTCGTGAAATTTGGCGGCTGGGATTAATCCGAACAATTCCTCAGAGCACTCCCCATGGTAGATGCGAAAGAAAATGCAAAGGGATGCAACATCACTTCGCAGTGCCAATGAATCGAGCCGATCGGAAAGGGCTCGGTCGTCGACAATTCGAGCCGCTCTGCGCTGGATGCGGTCAAGTGGAAGGAGCTGGCACTGGGGAGCCCCTGCCCAGAGATGGGAACAGTATTCCATGTGAGGCCGAACTTGCGCCTTGTAAAGTAGCAGGCGGTGTGCCGGCATGAAATACTGTCCCGCTCTGCTGAGCACGCCAAGCTTTTTAGAGGCCAATTTGGCCTTCCCTTCCAAGTGACCACGAAACTGCACGTCACTCGATATGTCGACTCCGAGGATACCGATACTGGCTGAGGCAAGAAGGGGAGTGCCTTGAAACTGAGGAGATACGACAAAGGGGTTCTTTTTAGCGGTAAACGCGCAAACTTGTGTCTTCTAAGGATTAAATTGGACTAGAGTTAGTCGCCCCCAATCCGAGACTTTGTTCAGCAAAGACTCGACTTCAGACACAAGTTAGTTCCGGTACTCAGTGACGTTTTCCCGAGAAATATTGGCACGGCCGGTGTATAGAGCATCACCAGTGCTGTCATCCGCATAGCAATGAATGTTACCAGTTAGCAACATATCATTGATATGCAGAAGAAACAGCGTTGGTGATAGCACACAGCCTTGTGGAACACCAGCGTTAATAGGCTTGTAGTCAGAGCATGCACCGTCTACAACGACCTTGATGCTCCGATCTACAAGGAAGCTGGTGATCCAATTGCACAATTTCTCGGGAAGCCCATAGGAAGGGAGCTTCAAAAGAAGCGCTTTGTGCCAAACCCGATCGAAGGCCTTCGCAATGTCCAGACTAACGGCCAACGCCTCCCCCTTGGACTCTACTGCCTCCGCCCATCTATGGGTCAGGTAGACCAGAAGATCACCAGCTGATCGACCCCGACGAAAACCGTATTGGCGGTCACTAATCAGCTGGTGATCCTCAAGGTACCGGATGAGCTGGCAGTTAATAATGGATTCCATTATTTTGGAGAACAAGGAGGTGATCGCGATAGGCCTATAGTTGGATGGGTCTGAGCGGTCGCCTTTTTTAGGGATCGGGTGGACAAAAGCTGTCTTCCATGAATTCGGGACTACGCCTTGGGAGTAGGAGTACCGGAAAAGACGCGTTAGGACCGGTGCCAACTCCGGAGCACACGTCCTTAGCACAATTGGGGGGATTCCGTCAGGCCCACTCGACTTCTGGATGTCCAGGGAGAGCAGTGATTTGCGAACCGAGCGCTGTGAGAACAGCACATCCGGCATGGAGCACTCACACCGCGGGATGGTCGGCGGTGTTTTCCCCCCGTCATCAAGAGTCGAGTTGCACGCAAAAAGGGAGCCTAAAAGGTCGGCTTTGTCTTTTGCGTCATGGGCCAGTGGGTCATCCTCCCTGTGCAGAGATGGTAGTGATGGCTTACAGAAATTCAATTACAGATAGGGCCTTCGTGCCAGACTCTGTCAAACGCTTTTGCTATGTAGAAAAAGACTGCGATGGTCTTATGACGACGAGGATAGAAACCGCTGAGGATATATTCCACAATACGGTGAACTTGTTGGGGACAAGAATGTTTCGCTTGAAAACCAAATTGGTGGGTGATGACAAGAGGGTCACCGTCTGTGGAAAACAGATGGAGCCTTATGCGTCCACATGATGGGAAGGAAACTGAGTTTGTAGCAGGCGTTGAACATAATAGCTAAAAGGGTCGACACCTGCCTAGGAATATGTTTTAGGGCTTGGTTAGAGATGCCATCCACGCCCGGAGCCTTTTTGGGCTTAAGTACTTTGATGAGTGATGAGATCTCAATATTGGACACAGTGGTAGAGTCAGAGGCTGTGGAGGGGTGAGTACCGGCGGCGGACCTCATCCTTCACTGTCTGGATGTAGGAGAGGTCGGTGGGTTGAGAACTAGGAGAGCATTGTGCGGCAATGCTGTCTGCAAAGCACAAAAGCCTTTTCCTCGTCCTCGAAGGCAACCGTACCGTCAGACAGGAGAGAGGGGGAGTGTAGGTGATAGCGTCTATGTGGAGAGCTCGTGCCATCTGATAGTACGCTGTATGAGAGGGAGATATATTCTCCATGAGATTACTCTGTTCGAGGTCTCGAAATTCGGTGAGGCGGGAACGTGCTTCTCGTTGAAGACGATTGGCCGCACGCCTATACTCGGGGGTGGGATAGAGTGCTGCTCTCCGGAAAGCAGCTCTCTTGGTTTTCATTAGGTTGCTGATATATGTAAGGGAAGACCATTATTATTAGCAACCGGGATGACCCTATCATTCTCCTTAAGGGAGGATTTTATAAAAGTGGAGAGAGAATCGACCGCGGTGTCAATTTTTTCGGGACTGTCGAAATCCGACAAGAGGGAGATGGGGAGTCCTCTGAGTCCATAGCTTTTGCTAAGGACTCCTTGAAGCCCTTCCAGTTAGTGAAGGTTTTCGTGGAGGGGTTGAGGGAGTTGGCTAATGGCCAAGAATGAGGGAAACCGGGCGGTGGTCGGATCCTAGGTCGTCAAGCGTCTCGATTACCCTAAGGTCTCGATTACCCTGAGAGAAACTCCTTTAATTAGCACAAAGTCTAGCACGTTAGGAGCGGGGTCAGTGTTGTCAGGATAGTGAGTGACACCGAGGGGACTGTGAACGGTAAGGTCAAGAGACTGCGTGATATCAAGCAGTTTCTTGCCATTCAGTATGCTTGGAGTTAAAATCTCCAAACATAATGACTGAGTTGCCTAGTGAAAGGATAGCCTCAATTTTTTTTGAGGGGCAGGGTTGCACTAGGGATATAGCAGGTGACTATGACGATGGACTGATGTCCAGTCAAGGCTAGTCTGCATACGGTGGCTTCCATGTTGGTAAGCTGCGGGGTTGGGATGTGGGAGCAATGAAGTGTCTTCTTCTAGTAAATGATAGTACCGCCGCATTTGCGGTCGGGTCTGTCGTTACGACGAAGATAATAATTTTGGATGGAAAGGCCTTTGAGGTTCTTAGTTTTGATATTGGTCTCCTGAAGGAGGTGGAGTTCGACTTCGCGATCTCGAAGAAAGAGTTGATGCTCGGGGAGGTTTTTTCACAACCCGCGAATATTAAAGGATACAAGCGATAAACTCTTAGGCTTAATACGACCGTGGGACTTTGGAAGAGCAGAGTGCTGGGCCATTGTTAAGTTAATTTAAATTAACTTAACTTACAATGAGCTCAAAAGGCTGTGGTGCTCAGCAATAGCGAGGAGACGGTCCTGAGGGGACTAAGCTGCGTGCAGTTTGTGTGATAATATGGCAATCTCGCCAATCCGATGCTCCGAATAGCGTCATACATCGTATTCAGGTCATCAAACATTGAGGGTTGTACTTGTTGTGGTGCGGAGGATGTCCGCGGGGGGTCAGCTTTTTTGGGGTCTTAGGGGAAAAAAGGAGGCTGTGAGGGCTGAGATAAGCCCGGAGGGGGTCGAAGTGGGCCCTGAAGGGCCTAGGGGACCCTGAGTGGACCGAGAGGGGCCCTGAAGGGGCTGGGAAAGGCCCTGACGCACAGTGGAAAATAATGTAAATAATTCCAGCCACGCGTCATTTTATGAGGTAGGGTCACAACTTTTTGTTAATCTCTTTAAAATGTCATATAGTGAGGGTGCCAGTGGCAGGGGCTACCGGGACGGGGGGGAGGGTGCGATTTTTCGCAGCGCATTTACGGCTGCGCCTTGACTTGACACTTTTGTGAAGGGAGTTTCACCCGTCATTGTTCCGTCGGAGTCTCTCGACTCCGGGGAACAACTACTGGACGTATTTTCGGTGGTGGTGGCGGACCTCTTCCGGGAGGTCGACTTCATGGACCTGTCAGAGCAAGAGCACTCCATGACGTTGGTGGCGAGGGACGCGGGCGAGTCGGTCTGCGGGGCAGCCGTAGGGGCTACCGAATAGGATGCAACGGGGGCCAGGGGAGACATGCCTGAGGGCCAAGGAAGGCGAGAACAGCGGCGAGAACCGTCTCGTCCAGATTGAGGCCTAGACCAAGAGATTGGTTTAAGGTGGCGACGAAGGTCCTAAATAGGTCTAGTGTTGACATGTTGGGGGGGGGGGACGGGATTTACTTGTGTAACGAACCCCCCCCCCATCTTTTTTTTCTTTTCTACTATATATCCACTTATATTTGTATTTCTTTAGAATCTATATCTGTAAGATATATAAATATATCTAATTTACGTGACCGGTATAACTTGATTTTTCTAAAGGTTTAAATATAGGCCGTTTAATAAATTTATGGCGTGATCGTCTTAGTTAGGACCCTTTTTTACGTTGTGTTTGTATAGTAACTTAGTTCTTTTAGGTGTATCTTGGAAGAATGAATATTCACGAGAGCAATCGAAAGCTGTTGTTAGAGTCTTATAAGCTAAAGAACCCCGTTCACGAAGACAGAGCTCAAAAAGGTTAAGAACAATAAATTGTCCCTATTCCACTTGTATCTGGTTCACAACAGTCAATTCCTTATTAATTAATCCCTTCCCGCTTGGAAAAGGCTCACAATATTTATATCAAATACCAGTTACAAGGGCTTCGCTCTCCCACATTTTAAAAAAAATGTGGAGGAGGTACACGGCCCCACACACGCCGCGCACGGTGAGCGCCAACCATTTTAATGCGCTCCCCCCGAAGGGTAGGCAAAGTTGGGAACTGGACCGTAGTCCACAGCAAAATAACTGGCGAACCAGTAAAAGAGGACTTGGCCCCTTGATAGTGCGTAAGCACAAACATCGACCGAAGTCGCGCATGTCAATGCGTGTAAACGCCACACGGAATACGATCAAATCCAGCCACAGTGAAATGTACGTTACACGCGTTAGGCAACAATCGGCACACTGACCATAAAAAGCCCTCCGTGAGCGCCACCACCTGCCAGACCGCCGTTTCTGCAGACGTGATGTAAGTGTAAGGCATCACCACCAATTGCATGGTCAGCACGGCCAATTGGCCGCAGAGCGTGTCATGAGTCTACCGCTCACCTCAAGGGAATGGGGTCCCACGTTGCGCGGCTTTCGGCCGCAGCCTTGAGAGCCTCCTCAGATTCTCCCTCCAGCTACCACTCGCATGAGGTCAACACATATGCTCCACCAACCAATACAATGGCAGATATAGCCAATAAGGCAGTTATAAGATAATATTAATAATTCGCCATCAGAAAGGGTTTGTGTCACTGACGTTGAGTATATGCATTTTTCGATCATGTTTGTCTCACCCACCAACAAGTTGCCTTCAATCTCTCAAAGGTGGGAACTTTATAGAGATATATTATTAAGTTGTTATATAAAACATCATGGAGGGCAGACAGTCTGCAGCCCCGCAATGAAGGGACCCGACTTGGGCAAAGCTACTTAGGTTGTGAGTCAAACCAAGACGCAGAGAGCGCTATTGAGAATAGCGACCCGCCAAACAACCATCGTAGAGACGCAATGCTACAGAATGCAACAAGCATCAATACGACTATCGTCGGGCTTACACCATCCCAAGGTCCCGCATACAGTCCCAGCAGACATCACCACCCGCATACCTCCATCGACCAGAACCACAAGATGCATCGAATCAGGTGCAGCACACCCGCAGATCCATCACAAGACACAATACTGCAAGTAGCAATAAGCATCAATGCAACTATCATACGGATGGCGCCCCCTCACAACACACCCACATGATCCCTATCGACTTTGGTAACAAAATTTGATAATGTTGTTAACTAAAATTACCACCAACGTATCATAGTAGTACGGTACTAAGACGTCAGTAGCCAAAACTCCACGTATCATAGCGCTATTGCACTAAGACATGAAGTTGAGTATGCTTGCTGCACTTAAAAGTACTACCAAACACACTCACCCTAATCCGAAAGATAGCCGACGTATCATAACGCTATGCGCTAAGACGCCGCCCACAACCGGTAGGGGTGTGCGATGTCCACGGGCAAGTCGTATTGCTACAACAAACCCGCTTACCACCGGCACTAAGATGATATGTCTAGGACACATCGGTTAGTGAGTCCAAGTTTACCTCGGTCTCAGAGGCTGCGAAGCAACCTACACGCCACTATAATAATCCTTTTCAAGTCCCATTTCTTTCAATATAATGCTCTTACATATTTGAGACCTTCCACATATTTGCTTTATTTCATAGACCATACTACTGTATGTCTTATTCATATGGGACTTCAAGTCATGACTCTGCTATCATAATGTTTATGCATCATAGAGACCTTCTATATTAATGCTTTGGTTCGTCAGACCTTA